AGAAGACCAGGCAGGGAAGCAAGGGATGGTGCAGAATTGGGTGCAGAGAACAGAACTCCCTCTGGCCGTCCTGTCCCTCGGCCACGAGTTAACCCCGGCGCTGGTAGGTGGCACTGTGCTCTTGGGGATGGCCGGCCAGGCTGCGCATCCAGCTCCCATCTTGGGGAGCTGACCCTTAGGTGTCACAGCTTCAGTAATTAATTCAGATGATCTGTTTTGTTCGGAGAAAATACTCTTTGTAATGTCGTTAGTTTACACAGCGTGTTTCACCTCGGAGTGCTTAATTTCACTGGAAAATTATTATTTTGTATGTGGCGGGGCAGGGGGGCTGGTAAAGAGATTTCCTCTTCAGGGTTGTTAATAACCACAGGAACTTATTTAGAATTGAACCAATTGAGACAGGTTTCACTGACTAACCATCATGGTGCAGGAGCTCAAGTCAGCCAACATCAAACTGCAATAAGTTGCAAAGGTTGGGATTGCTTGAAACAGGAAGCATAATTTACTCTTGGACTGATACATCACTGTGGCAAATTATCCATGTTTGATTTATGTCATCTTTCTCAAAGATGTGCTGCAATTTGCTGAAATTTTGCGAATTTGGCTATTTTGCATGAAGAAAATTCCACAATCTTTCCTGCGTAGGAGGCTCTATTAGTTTATGAAAATAGTTTATTCTGGCCTTTAAAAGCAAATAGTCCATTTTCAGCTCATTTTTATCTCAGTTTTTGGGCAAGTTGCATACCATTCCTGGGGTGTGGCAGTGAAGCGAATAAGATTATTTACTCCATTTACAGAGGTCTGATTTGGCACTTTCCTACAAACTGGTGCTTCCTGCAGTCTCCATTTGACCCAGCTATAGTGAGAGCCAGGTTCTTTGGATTCAGGCTTTGGATTCAGAAGTGTTCAAACGTGATTCTAAAGTTATCACTATTTTTTCTGTCCGTTTTGGAGACAGGGTTTTGCCTAAGTCCAATGGGCCATCTGATATTCTTGATGTGGCTATGTATCTAACTGCCCCGTATTTGATCTACACCTCACTTCATTTGAACACACCTTATGGGATGCCAATATTTTTCTTTGTACAATGGAAAAATAAATATAAAATAACTGAAATGGACGTGTCCTTTAATATGTTTCTTTCATTCAAATTACAACTTAAGAAACGCAAAAAAATATTTCTTGAAGATAGTGTATAGATCAAGACAGCATATGAAGAATTCAAATGAAAGACATCCTGGTTTTATTTCACTGATAATGCATGCAAAACTATTACAGAAAATACTATAACATTCCAAGTGTTCCTGGAGGTTTGTGACTGTGATGGGGATCTTTTTGGCAGGATTATAAAATGGACAACTAAAATGAATCTATGAACTAAATGCAGCAATATGTTTCTTTCTTTGGTTATAAAAAAAAGCAGGTGCTGAGATGAAAATATAGAAGACCTAACATCTAAAAGGCAGTGTTGGCTTTTATAAGGTGACAATAATATCTGGAAAACTAAAAAAATCAATACCTACCCTTCCCAAAATACAGATTTGATAGTAGCCAAGATCTTACTAATCAAAACATGATTCAACACCCTCCCTTCTGACAGATTGTAAGGAAGCAGAAGTTATACTGTAAAGCCAAAACAAAGCTAAAAGTAGTAGCATAGTCTAAACTAATAGAGATCTATGGAAGTGAGCAATAAGTATGAAAATAGGTTATCACAAAACTATGGTGCACTACCTTTCAAGCAAATGAAAAAATAATTTGTTAGAAACTAAAATATTGATTACTTACTTCAATGCATTCTAAGGAGCAGCTTAATGAAGAACTCACAGTGGTTGCTCACACAGAATTATACGCATACTAGAGCTCCTCAGGACATACAGTTAAGAAACTCTAAGTCTATTCACATAGATTTTTTTTTCCAGTTTATTGGTTCAGTTAAGGCTCATGTAAAATATTTCAAAAGGACAAAGGTAGTAGTCTGTATCTCTGAATGCCTTTATGACTAAGAGAATGAGATATACTTGTACATCAAAGTGATGGATGGCTGAGATAAAAATTACATAGTAATATTATTGTATGTGTTCCAGAAAAATCTTATTTACAGGCATATATTTTAAGGTCAGAAGAAACCAGTAAGGTCAGAAGAAGACATCTGTTTTGATCTTCTCTATAACAACCATAGATTTTCTGCCAGTAATTTGTGCCTCAAGCCTGGAATTTCTCTAGAACAGCTCATATCATAAAAAATTTTCTTTCATTTTCTAGCAATGTAAGTACAAAGAAATATGATTGTGTGAACAGTGACAGGCCCTCATCTGTATTTGTGATTAGCATTGCCTTTGAAAATGGCAACAAGTCCTGCTGCTCTTCTTCTCTCTCTAGTGCCACATTTTGTTCCCTTTTTTTGCATTGCTCTGGCCTTTGGTGGTTTGATTGAAATAATACTGAGATATTTGGTTTCCATTACAAATTTTCGTATAATTATTTACTTTGGACTCCATTATCTTGGTTGCTTGACTAAGAGATGACATAATTATCAGAAATTAGAAGGAAGTGGCTTTTTAGACATAGCTGAAGGATGTCACTAAGACTTTGGATGATACTCTTTATTGATATTAGGACCTAACATAGGATGCTAAACTAAAAAGTCTTTTTCATAGTTTTGTTTTTCCTTTTATTTCCCACCCTCCACAACCTCTGTATTTATAAATATTTTTTTCATCATTCAGTAGGGGAAAAGCTTAGATAAGAACCATTTTCATAGTGCACAAAGTTAAAAACTTTACACTTCCAGAACTGCTGATTAATTACACCGTTTCCCATACAGTCTTTATATTTTCTCTGACTCACTTGCAACATCGAATCTATTCTATTTTACCTAATTTTTTTTTCTGAAACTGCCCTGGTGTTAGAGGATTATATCCATAGTGCACAGCTGGGGAATGTGTTTGCAAGTGTACAAGAATAAGCAGACTCGCACCAGCAGGTCACTATTGAAACTCACCCACAAGGGCTGGCAGCAGAGAATGCCTCCTAAGAAGTTGTATTGTTTTCCACTAAGTGAATGTGCCAGCAACTAATGGGAGAGAAACGTTGAGAATCACTTGATTTTTTCTGAGACCTATAAGCCAAGTTAATTGTTTTGTTTGCCTGATTTATTATACTTGAATGAATAAAGTGCTGTTAGTACTGCACTTTGAGCAAGAATTTAAAGCCAGAATAGTCAAAAAGTTACTCATCTGGTTGGAGCACCTAAATTTTATGAGAGAACTAAGTGAGAGATTCATTTTAGAATGTGGATATCTGTATCTCACTTGAGTTCAAAGTGGAAGCACATACCAGAAAACTTTATGCCAATATATTATGTGTCTCTAAAATAATCTTCTAAATGACTGTTTTTGAAAAACAGAAGTTTTCCTGTTTTTTTATACATTCTAACTATTCTGTCCAAGTCAAATATTGAAATGCAAATAGAAATTAGTGATTATTACTTGGTCTCCAAAACAAAATATATTTGACATGATGGAAGTGTTTGGGGCTTTCATAAATGTGTCATCAATGTCTAAATATCAGTTACTTGACATAATACCTAATATTTACTTCATTTTCTCTTTATGAGCAACTTGGGAATGAAAGTATTTTTTCATTGTTCCTTGCTTGTTTAGATAATGACACAGATCAAGCAGAAGTCATTCCAGAGACAGGGTTAGAGCACCAGGCTGCAGCTAATCCCACAGCTGCTTCCCGTAAGGGCTTGTACTCACCCTCTGGTATCTCATATCCTTGTGACCAGTTATGCTCCTGCATGTTGAAATTGCCACAGTGTGATACCTTTTCACTCCCCATCCTACTCCTTGCACAGAGACCCAGCATCACTTCAGGGTACTACAGTTATGACCTGCTTGAATATTTTTTTGCTCTGCAAGGTTGGTGTGTGGTGACATAAAAATATCAACAAGCAAATTTTTTAGCATTGTTTTACTTTTTTTCTTTCCTGTCTTTCTTCCCTGCCTCCACATCTAGCCCTAGATCAATACCTCAGATCATCGCTAGAAAAAAGCCTTCCAAAAGGAGGCTCTTTCTGCATTTAACTCTAAAGTACTGCTCAGATGAGAATGGACTTGTTGGGGTAGGGAATTTTCCTTGCCAGAGACATTTACAGAGGCTGTTCTGCCATGAGATGGTAGAACCTTGTTCTAGAATCTGAGATCTGCAACATCTTTGAGTCTTGATATCATGACAGTTTGTGGGCTGAAAGCTGTCCAATGTTACTGCTGGTCTGTTGATTAAGAGACTTGTGGCTTAGAATTAGGAATAGTAATTAGATCCAGAAGCAAGTGTGGATACATCAGAATGCATACAGCCCTGGAGAAATGTGTTCCGAATACTCCTGTCAAACCAATTGTGATTCATGTGGCTTTCCTTTTCTTCAGTGAGGGACAGTGTAGGAATAACTGCAGGAAGCTCTTGGTCTGGGAGAAAAAGGTTGTCTTTGGAATAAATATCACAGTGAAAACTTTCCACCCTAAGCTTTCATTAATTTCTCCATGTCATCTTAGTATATTTAAACTCTGTAAGAAATTATGCTGCAGAAAGTTCTTCCCACGTGTAATTTTTCCTCAAGTGAAGTGCATACCTTTCAAATTATAAACTTCCTACTTGTCCTAGGAAAATTCTCACTGTATAAATAATTGAACTCATCTGCAGTGAACACAAGTATTCTTTCTCTAGCAGTCTAAAATATATGCCTAAATACACATCTTGTACTTAGTGCTTTAAATAGTAATTACTCCTGTGAAGTCACTGGAAGCCCTTAAAAGGATTTGACAGTTTCCCCACAATCTTTCAGTGAATGTAGTAGCTGGGCTGTGCAGTGCAACATCCACTGATAATTCAGCAGCTGAGGAACTCAGCAAAGCCCGCTCCAAACTTCTCAGCTGTTGACAGGCTTGACTTGCTGAGAACACTGGTTAAATATAGCACAAGCGAGCTGAGCTCAACAAAGTCATTGCTGTAACACTGTGTGAAGAGACCAGAAGAGGGGAAATACAATCTGAGAACTAAACTGCCAAAGCCTAACACCACCTAGCAACAGTTGAAAAAACTTTTAAACAAAAGTCTGGGTGAGACACAGACAGAGTATACCTCCTACTTCTCCTGCCTGGGATTTCTGCGAGAAGCAGCTCCGGTCTTCTGCTCTTTACCTTGTTTCCTTCATTACTTCAACTGCTGGTAGACCCAGAAAAGTGGGGAAAGTTTCTGTCTTTGTGTTCTCCTGAGCTGGATCATTCTACTCCTGTGGTAGTGCTGTGGGACAGGCTACTGTGATCTTGCAGTGTAAAGGATATATTCCTAGGTCCGTGTTGCTGACAGGTAAGACCGAGTTAACCACTCTGTCTTTTCTTTTTTTTACAATAACCTTTATTTTCTAGTGTCTTTTTTTACAAAAATTTTATTTTCTAATGTCTATTGTCTCTTTCATTCTTTGAACAATCTTTTGAATGATTTGAAAATGGCAATAGATGAAAGCTGGGGTAAAACTTTTAGAGGGTTTTTTTTAATGTTTTCATGATAGAAAATCATTGCTTAGATAATTTTTGCAGTTCTGAGAACAAACATAATGAACTAGCCAGTAGTAATATGAAAAAATGTGCATAGATTTTGACATGTATGTTGTTTATATCTGCTTACATGCAGACAGAAGACAAATCAATGTTTAATAATAGAATACATATAATCTCTGACCAGTGATAGTCCAGCAGCTATTAAAAACAGTGGCAACCTGTGTGATAAATAAAAGGAAACAGCCATTCGGGAACAGAATTAACCAAATAGTTCGTGGCCCAGCGCATTTTTACTTTTTGTTTCCTTGCTAACTTTTAGGACACACCTGGTGCCTTTCATACTACCTTTGTGACAGCTGCTCTTGTGCTTATTTACATTGAATGAATATTAATTTCTGCTGTTTTGATTAGCAGCATAATGCAACCGTCCTAAGGACTGACCTTATGTGCATTGTACCTAAGTGTGCTTGAGCTGGGTCATTGTTGTTGAAGTGCATGTTTCTATCAGCAAAATAAATGAGAAGCCAGTTCTCAGATGTTTTACCCTGGCAGCAGGATGGAAGCCTGTTTGTTGTTGGAAATGCATATCCCATGGCCCCATAGTGGCCGTGTAATTTAGGGAAGGAATTGCTTAGTGTAATTTACTTTGTCTTAACTGACAAAAGCTGTTTGATCTATTTGAGAATGAATTCCACTCCTCCCTGCCACCTCTTTTAAAGCTGTTTTCTGCAAACAAAAAAATCTAGTGCGCATGAATTTTTAAGAGACATACTGATTGTAAGTTCATATGCAATATTAATTCAGTTATGAAAACAGAGATTTAAAGAATGCACTTATCCTGTGGTAAAACCCTGTTCACAGATTTATGTAGAATTGTCTCAGACGAAAAATATTTGTCCTAAAGAAGGAATGAACTAACTGAGTCTGTGCTGACTGTCTGTGGTGTTTGACACTTAGTCTGTGGACTCTGGGACTGCCTCAGGGAGATGAGAATGTCTTGCTTTAGTGAAATAATTCTAGTTGCATCCCTGCATACTACATAAATGACATCAATACCACATCTTAGCAGTGGATAGATTGGATGGAATTAAAATACTCTGAAGCAACTTGTACTTGGTGACTGAGAACGTAAGTGCCTGTAAAATGATAAAATAAGTATTAGGATGGAAGGAAATTCTTAAAAGTAAAACGTTACACAGTGTACATTTTATTTCATAGCAAGGGGCACACTAAAGCACTAAACAGAAACACTTTTTGGCAACTATCATTTAATGTGATAATCATTATTGTGGAATTACTAAAGCACTATGGTATCCTAAATCTAAGTCTCAAAAGGAAACTTTGGAATTACTTTTTAATAAGGACATATCCTGAGAATGTTGTTTTTTCATAAGAAGGCTACACAGTGAGAAATAAATCTGAGACAATATGATTTATACATTCTTTGTCATCTTGACATTAGAGTGAAAATTACTGCCTCTTCTCTTTAATGAAATATATGGCAAATTAAACAGCGGAGAAATGACAAATTTGACCTTCTGAAAATGTAGGGATGACAAAATCTGGGAAAATGCTATGACCATATTGACTCCTTTTTGTTTAGTTGTTGCTCAGTGTAATGGGTGGTTATACAACTTCCCCTTTTTTGCACAATTTAGTTTTAGTCAGGTTTTTTAAATAAAAAAAGCAAATTATTAGCCTGATAACTGTCAAATGAAGTAATATTTGAACAGTCTAATAGCACCTTCAAACTCTAACACATGGAGTTGTGGTTTTACATACATCTATTTCCACTTCAAAATGGAGGAGGAGGCTAAAATTACTCTTTTCAACAGGTGTCCACAAAGAGGCTCTGGGATTTTCCAATCAAATCTGTGGAATATATAATGTGGCCATTCAACAGATGGTTTCCTATTTGAAAGATAGCCAATTCTTCTAATGACTACAGTGAAACCAAGGTTGATTTTATATCAAATAAAAATGTATGTTTTGGTGATATACATAGTGATTTTTGTGGGAGACAAGTAGACATAGGATACCCCTTTATTTTATCCCTCATGCATAATTTTGATTTTGTTTATATTTACATAACTGTGGAATGGATGGTGCCTTTCTTGGTGCTAAAGACTCCTTCCAATCTGAACCCACTTCCAGACCATGTTTGTGGCTTTTTTGATTTTGTTATAATATTTTCATAGTTATGGTTATTTTGTATTATTATTAATTATTATATTAATTTTGTTCTCATTGTAGCTGATCTAGGCCTAGCTAAAGTCACCATCTTAACGGAGTGTTTTCATCACCTCAGTCTTTCAGTCTCTCTATAGAGGATCTGATTATTTTTAACACCAAATTCAAGGACTTAAAATTCATCTTCAAAGCTCAGCACTGTTCTGTCCCTGCTTACAAATGCCTTATTTTCCTGATCTCCTCCTGCTCATATGTGGTAGATGATTGACCTTTGGCCCTGGTGTTTACTGGTACATCCTTTATGCTACTGGTTTCAGTGAGCTTGATGACACCTCATGACATCTGAGTTTTCTGCACTGCCACTCACTGTCACACCTGACACAAATGGAAAGACGAAACATTCATATTAATAGAACTGTGTCGGCCAAAGTAGGATTCCTGAAAAAATGGATGTGCTTCCTGGAAGCAGCCTGTGGACTAAGCATTAGAATATCAGGAAATCTCTGTTTTGCTGGCATGCCCTGTTTTGCTCCTCTGGGTTTCAATTTCACCGCTATGGCCATTTTCATAATAAAGGCTTCCTATTGATAGAGGTGATCAGTGAAACTCCTCCTGATACAGGATCTTTCTGCTGGCAGACATTCCACACATACTTAATTCAAGGCTTTTGGTAATCTTATCTAACTCAGTTCAGGTATCCCCAGGCAGAAATTAAGAATGTGCCTCAGAGCTGTGCCAGTCAAAGGTCAGGTTTATGCCACTGAATTCAGAGTGACATTTCCTTTGAATTTAATAAGATCAGGTTTTAGTATTCAGGAATTAGCAGATAAATTTCCAGTCCCCTCAAGAGCATTTAACAAAACAGATAATCTCTATTTCTGTTCAAATATTTTTTTTCTAAGAGACATTTTACTTTTCTTCCAATTTCCTCTTTCTTCCCTTCTTTTCTCTCTCAAAGGTCTGTTGTTGCAGGTTGCCCTGTTATTTAAATGTATAAACTGAACTTTGGGCAGGGGTTTTGTCCTGCTACATATCTAAAATGACAATTGGAGAAATAAAGTGAATATTTGTGAAGAAGCCAGATTACAAATTAGAAGCCAACATTACAAATGAGAAGGAACTCCATCTATTCATACTTCCTATTTCACCAAAATGTTTAGTATATAAAACCTAGGATAAGAACTGAAAGCTAAAAAGATAAAATAAGAATATTCTATTGTATAGAAATGTTTACATACTTCTTTACAAGAGGCCTAAATGTCTAAACTTTTCAGCTTGTGGTAGTTTTCAGTTTTAGTATTTTCTGTTTTCCTTTCTATTATTGTTTTCTACTGAAAGTTGTTTCCTAATTTTACACAGAATATTGGTAATTATTTGGGGACGACAGGCTTGTCTTAATTTTGGAGCATACTGGATAACTGAGAAAACAATCAATTCATAAAATATCAAGACTTTTTTTTTTGACCTCTCTTTTCTACTTAGCAGCCAGTATTTGTACCAAGCTAGTGACACTAGAACTTGTAACATGGCCCTGCAGTTATGCTTTGAGGTGAAGGCAGAAACAATTGTGCCAGTGTTCAGTGGGAGTCTCTGATCGTGTTCAGTGGGAGTCTCTGATCGTGTTGAAAATGTGTGATGCCTTATGTATTTGTGAAAATCCTGCGTTTTAGGACACTTGATTAGATCTTCCCTTTTATTTTGGGTCTTTGCACCTACTCCTCCTGCTTCTGCAGATAATCTGTACTTTGTATATTACTTTTTATTCTCAGCATCATAGTAAAATAAGATTAATATAAGTGCAAACAGTGCAAACAGAAAAATCTTCCTAGGTTGGGACAGCTGTGCTTTTTTTTTTTTAAATTCAAGATGGCTTGGCCCTGTGATTCTCATTCTGCTTTGTCTGGACTGTGTCTCTAAACCTTTTCTACAAGTAAAGCATGCAAATTGTAGCTGTAAAGGCGATCTGTAACATTACACAGATTGTGGCATCCTTCACAATGTTTTACACACTCAGAAATACAGAGAAAATACAATTAAAAACTTAATTAAACCTTCATCAGAAATGGGAGTATATGTGGTCATGTGAGCATGACTTTTGCAAGGAAGGAAGTGCTTTTTGGCACAACAGAATGCTTTGCTGAAGGAGTGGGACAAACACATCCAGAGCACAGGGAAATAGGCTGGAGCTTGTACTTTTTCCCTTAAATGGACAACCCGTCTGGTTGCTGTGTGCTGACAGAGGCAAAGGGGGGTGTGAATCCAAAAGATTGCTGCACTTTGTCCAAGTGAGTTTCATTTCAAAGCTGATAAAATGACAATTAAAATCCGAATTATCTAAGATGTGGCAAAAGCCGTTCAGGTAGATACTGGTGGGGTTTCAAAACAAGAGCAGAAACCTCGATGAATTTGCACTGAACTTGTCCAGTTTGATTTACACACTCTTAGAGCTCTGTAATACAGTAATCGTTACTTTCTTCACTTTTCCTTTTTGGGGAAATGGTGACAAAGAGTGTAATGTTTTGTGATTTATGCTGTACAAAAATTTGTTCCAGCACGTATGTAAAAGTGATATTTTGGAATCTAAATCCATTTTCTATCAGAAGTCCACAGTATTTAGAG